CACCACATACCTCCTCGCCTCCACCCCACTCCACCATTCCGATTACTGCACGACCGCCACCACGTCCCCCGGCCGCCCTGACCGCCAGATCGGCCCCCGGCACCCGACGCATGAGTTGGGAGCAGAGGTGGGACGCGGTAGGGGACCGGGACCGATACTTCAGCCATGAGAATAGAGTAGTCTGCCGGGCGTGAGGTACGCCGCAGGCACCCGGGGTTGGAGATAAGCGGTGGGGACGGTGGAGTAGTAAGCCGGGAGAGAAGAGTGTGATGGAAACGTGTGGCCAGGATCCTGAGATGTATGAGGGAAACAAGACAAGCAAGGGAGAGAGTGGAAGATACGGACGGGGTCGCCCAGCGACGGGCGCACAGCGCAATGTAAACACCTAATGAAGGTGACCCAGTAGGAATAACCCACTTGTCCGTGGACGCTGTAGCAAATGAGGAAGATATGAGAAGTAGTAGAAGCCCCACAAAGAATGACCAGGGGAGTGTGATGGGGGCCAACCCCCCACCGCCCAGCAGCAATCAAGAGGTCAGTTGGGAATCAATGGCGCAGACCGCCGGATGATCAAGAAGCGAAAAGGAGGCTCGAGTTACCAGCACGTTTCATCGTGCTTGAAACCGCTCTCCCACGACCTTTAACCACTTTTTTCGTGGTTTAACTGCTTGTCCACGTCAGCACACGTTCTATTTCTGATACGCCGCCACGTAGACTTCAAAACATCATCGAATAACTGCCTTATAACTACCACAACATCTTCTTGTAATTGCCGCGGCACCATAGGTTGCAGCGGCTAAGCCGCGGCACCATAGGCTGCCGCGCCTTAGCCGCGGCACCATGGTCTGCCGCGCCTTAGCCGCGGCACCATGGTCTGCCGCGCCTTAGCCGCGACACCATGTCCTGCCGCGCCTCCATGTGTTGCTTGATGATGTGTATATTGTTCTTCTATGTTGTCTTGAGTGGTATTTGGATGTCTATAAGCATTTTTGACGCCTACACCCACCACGACGTATTACATTGATCCCACCTAGATGCAATGATAAGTAAGCAAGGGTAGTTTGCTAGGACGTTCCTCAGAAGCGACGCATTACATTGATGTCACCCCGATGTAATGACAAGTAAGCAAGGGTATTCTAAAAATCTACATTCCTCTAATAGGCTACATAATAGTATTAGGCATAGACTAGAATAGTCTAAAAGGGAAAATGATAAGGGACTTTTATAAGAAAATAGAATTAGATTAGCTACTTGGAATATAGGTACACTAACCGAAAAGACAATGGATTTAGTGGATGTCATATATAATTTGTTTACAAGAAACTAAATGGATAAGTAAAAAATCTAGAGAAATTGAAAAGATCATATATAAACTTTGATACACGGGAAAAGAGAAGAATAAGAATAAAGTGAGAGTTCTTATAGATAATATAATAAAAGAAAGTGTTGTAGATGTAAGAAGAATTGGAGATAGAATAATACTAATAAAAGTTGTCTTAGTTATAGAGGTTATTAATATTATTAGTACTTACGCACCTCAAATAGGCTTGCCCGAGAGTATTAAAAGGAAATTATGGGATAGATTAGATGAATTAGTACAAGGAATCCCCTATGGAGAGAAATTTCTTATAGGAGGGGATCTTAATGGGCGTGTTGGTAAGAATAATAACGGATATGAGAGGATACATGGAGGTTTCATGTATGGAGATAAGAACGATATGGGTAAATTAATTCTAGAGTTTGTAATATCATATGATTTGATAATATAATAGCAAATACACTTTTTAGAAAAATGGATGAACACTTAATAACCTTTAAAAGTGATTTTAATAATAGTCAAATAGACTTTTTCTTACTAGATTGGCGAATAAGTTAATATGCAAGGATTGTAAAGTTATACCAGTAGAGAGTTTAAATACACAACATAGATTGATGGTCTTAGACATATCTATTAAAAAGTGGAGTAAAAAAACTAACGTCAACAAAAGACTAAGAATTAAACGGTGGAATTTGAATTTAATACATTTTAAAGATAAGATAATAAAAAAGATATATGGAACATGGATAATGAGACTAATATTATGTGGAATAACATATTTTTTTTGTATTAGAAAAATGGCTAAAGATATACTAGGAGAATCTAAAGGTTATAGATTAGACGGTAAGGAGAGTTGATGATGGAATGAGAGTGTGCAAAAGGTTATTAGAGAGAAGAAAACTTTATATAAAGAGTGACAAAAGTGTAGCAGTAGGAAAAACTTAGAAAAATATAAACTAGTAAGAAAGGAAGCAAAAAGAATGGTTAGTGAGAATCAATAAAAAACTTATGAAATTTTTTATAAGAAGTTAGAATCTAAGGAGGGAGAGAAAGATATATATAAGCTTGCTAATATTAGAGAAAGGAAGAGTAGAAATTTGGGCAATATTAGGTGTATTAAAAAGTGAGGATCAAAGAGTTCTAGTGATCGACGGGGAAATAAAAGAGAGGTGGATGGGTTACTTTTATCAATTGTTTAATAATGATAATCAAACAAGTGAGCAAAATAGCGATTTTGACCATGTAGTGAATGATATGAACTATAGATATTGTCGTAAAATTAGGATTAGCGAGGTTAAAGATGCTCTAAAGAAAATAAAAAGTGGATGAGCCGTAGGACCGGACGATATCCCTATTGAAGCTTGGAAATGTCTTGAAGATATAGTCTTAGGATAGTTAACTAAACTATTTACTAAGATTATCGAGGCGAAAAGAATGCCGGATGAATGGAGGATTAGTATTTTGATACCAATATATAAGAATAAAGGGTATATACAAAATTGTTCAAATTGTCGAGCTATAAAACTCATGAGTAATACTATAAAACTTTAAAAGAGGGTAATTAAGCAAAGGTTAAGAAAAGAGGCATGTATATTTGAAAATCAATTTGGTTTTATGTTAGGGAGATCAACTATGGAACCTATACATATTTTGAGACGGTTGATGATATAGATAGAAGAGAAAGAATCTACATATGGTTTTTATCAAACTAGAAAAAGCTAATGATAGAGTACCTAGAGAGGTAATGTGGTGGGTGTTAGAAAAGAAACATGTATCTAGTATATATATAGATGTGATTAAATATATGTATGATAAAGTAACAACTAGAGTAAGAACTGATGAATGAGAGACTAAATCATTTTCTATTACCATAGATTTACACCAAGGGTCAGCTTTAAGTCCTTATCTTTTTGTATTAGTTATAGACCAACTTACTAAGCACATTCAGGATGAAATTCCATGGTGGATGTTATTTACTGATAATACAGTATTAGCTGATGAAACTAAAAGAGGCATTATTGCTAAAGTAGAAAAATGAAGACAAGCTCTTGAATCTACGTGTTTTAGAATTAGTAGAACAAAAACAGAATATATAGAATACATTTTTAGTAAAAATAGGAAAGAAAGAGAGCATATGGTACATATTGATGGCCAAGAAATACCTAAAACTAATCACTTTCGCTATTTAGGATCTATCATTAGGCGTGATGGTGAGATAGAGGATGATGATGTGCATCGAATCAAATCGGGATGGTTGAAATGGAGGACTACTTCGGGAGTCTTATGTGATCGTAGAATGTTAATGAAACTAAAGGAAAAATTCTATAGGACGGCTATAAGACCAACTATGCTTTATGAGTCAGAATGTTTGGCAATTAAAAACAACATGTTCAAAAAATGAGTGTAGCAGAAATGAGAATGTTGCGATGGTCTTGTGGGTATCAATTAAAAACAACATGTTCAAAAAATGAGTGTAGCAGAAATGAGAATGTTGCGATGGTCTTGTGGGTATACATTAAAAGATAGGATAAGAAATGAGAATGTTGCGATGGTCTTGTGGGTATACATTAAAAGATAGGATAAGAAATGAATGCATCCGTAGTAAATTAAAGGTTGCGCTTATTGAGGATAAAATGAGAGATGATAGATTAAGATGATTTGATCATGTACAAATGAGACCCCTTAGTACACCGATTATGAAAAGTGATAATATTAGAGTTAATGAGACTAGAAGATTTAGATGTCGACCTAGAATGACTTGGTCATAAACAATTAAGAATGATATGATTAAGACTAAAGTAACGGAAGAAATGACCCACAACAGAATGAAATGAAAAAATAGGGTTCGTGTAGTCGACCCCAAACATTTGGGATAAAGACATGGTTATTGTTATTGTTGGTGTATCTTCTCCAACATCTTTCTCAATGGCTCTCTTCAGCTTTAATCCTAAATTTGCACATGATAGATTCCCATTGGGGAAGACATTGCAAAAGACATTTGAGAAAACGAAGTGAAAAATACATTTGTGTTAGGATTTTATTAAACGGATTTGAAAGCTTAACAAGTATAAGCTAAAGTGATGAATAGGTTTGAATTTGTGTGAGAACGATATAACTAGCAAATAATCAAAAAACTTAAATTAAATAAAAATATTTCCCCCATTTAACTAGATTTTAACTAGGGGGCTTATTTCAACACACTAATGGGATTTTGGGGGGCCTGAGATCAACTAAAAATATTTGGGGGGCTTGAGATCAACTAAAAATATTTGGGGGGCTAATACAAAATATTGAAGATTAGGGGGCTAATATCGAAATAATCCTGATGAGATTGTAGGTTGTGTATCATTAACCAAAATAAATAAATAAATAAAAGTAAAAAAATAAAAAATAAAAAAAATTCATCTTTTGAGAATTGTTCAGTGCCTTAGAGTGTATGGTTTCCTTTACAGCTTCCTCAAGCTGTGAATGTAAATTGTGGAGTCTTGAATCTGACCAACAAAGTGATACAACTTACAAATTTGAAAATGAAGAAAATAAGAATAAGGACAAGTTAAGGCTGTTATTCTGTCATTAATGAAGACCAATCAATTCTGAAGACTAAATTTAACAGATATAGTTGTACATTCAGACCAACTGATGGAAATCATTGCTTACAAGCATTGCCTACAGACATCAAATAAACCCAAAATAAAAGCACTTCTTTTCATTGAAAATTACAAAGGTTTGTAAATAGATTACAGTGAATATTTTACCCCCTTGAAAGGTCTATAGGCAGGCAGAATTTGAATAATTGTTGCACATTAGATCTTTAAAAACAAGGGGTAGAGAAAACAAGGGATTTATTTCTATTAAAGTACTAATAGCTGTATATACATTGATCCATCGACAGAGAAACAACAAATCCTACAAGCTGGATTTTTTTTTTTTGCTCTGTCATAATAAGTTATCTCTCCACCTCTCTCTACCCGCTGTAGTTACATGAAAACAAACCCTAAGCAGTTACGGATGTTTCGATTGAGACCTTGCCTGAGTATAGAATCTCCTCCGACTTCTCAGCCTCCTCCCATAGCTCAGGCAATGCTTCCTTAATGTTGTGGATGCTTTCTAATGCTTGATCGGCTCCTTTGATCCTGCTGGACTTTCCAACCTGTATCCAGATACCAAATCCGGATAATATGATCAGTTACGGAGGAAATGGCCCTTAAGATAACTTCATGGACGAATAAAATTCATGTAACTGGCACCAAAATTTTAGGATGAATGTTTTGTTGTTGTTGTTGTGGCTGTTGTCACACTGACGATACCAAGGTCAGTTTGGCGAACTCCTCAAAACTAGATTAGGATTAATCAGGATTGATCAGGATAAATCATGGCCCTGTTTTGAGATAAAGTAGTTCCGTTTTGATCTAGATCTAGGAAGTGATGGATCAATGCATAACTGCTGTTGGGGATTTTACTGGCCTAGGAAAAACCAGGTCAACTCTGACCCAGTTTTTGTCAAACAAGATTCTTCCCAAAATGGGAAATATGGGACGTTGCCAAACAGGTTCCAAGAGTTACAGGAATTTTTACCTACAAATTAGCTGATACAAATGCAATTCTCATGGCATTTTAATTTGAAATTTTCACGAGGCAACTATTCTCAACTGGTAAGGGTCATGGTAACAGAGAATTACCAGCACAGTGTGGAGACCAATTCTCTTGCCAGCAGCAATGTTCCTTATGCTGTCATCAAAGAAAATCTGCAACAACATTTTGACCGTAACATATTTAGAGATTGTAGGCAATACAAGCAAACTGTTACAGCAACTGTAAAAATTTGACACCTACCGTCCTCTGAGGGTCAATATTGGCAATTTTGAGAGCTTGAATCATAGCATCCTCAGATGGTTTGCAAAGGAGAGGGGACTTGGGTAATTCCACATTGGCATCAGCTCTAGAGAAGTGCCCAAGGATGTCAAAGATTTCAGTTTCAGCGATTTCATCCTCAGAAAACGATGAGTCCTCCGGTGGATTCAAGGTCTCAAAGCAAATAATCCCTTCAAAGCAACCTTCCAACCCCATTCTATTAAGAACTTTCGCGGCATGGATCTTATCGCCATTTGTAAATATCTGTATTCAATAAAGCTAGATGTTAGTGACTCATTGTACCCAAAAAAAAGGATCAATTAAAGGCTACAATTTTCAGAAAAGACTTACGACTTTGCGAATGGGCAAGCTCAATAAGAGATGCCTAAGAACAAGATCAGGTTTTAGCTTGTCATATGGTAATCTCCCATGAACAAAACTATGGTACTCATCATAATCAAATTTGTAACCAATAGCCTGTGCATCAAATTACAAAAAATTGTTCTTAGTAAAGCCTAGGAATAAAAAAAATATGTACAAATTAAACCCCCCACCAAAAAAATTCAAATTAGCATACCCTTAAGCCAGCCATGGTTGTTCCGTAGTGCTTGTATAATATGTTTGAGATGTCTGGGATATTTTCCTTTTCGATTTGAAGCTTCTCAAGCATATAATCTATTATACCATTACAAAAGATTATATTATTTTATATTTCATTCAATAAGCAATGATGATAGAGTTCATAAGAAAACATCTTAAGATATGGTTTCATTTTTTACCTTCAATATTCATGGTGCAATGGGCAGAAATGCCGGAACTAAATGGATATAACGTGTCATCAAGATCTACATGTTACAATCAAAGGGAAGCTATAAGAACTCAGTTTGTAAATATAAAATTTTCACAAAATAATCAAATTTGACGAGCAGAAAACTTACCGAACAAAAGGCAGTCGTATTTTGGGCTCTGAGCGAGGCGATATTGGCCTTCGAATTCCATTTTGACTTTTTTCCACCTTCATTAAATAAGAAACAAAATTAAGAAAAATAACCTTTCGAAAAACGTTAATAATAAAAGGCAAAGATGGAATTTTGAGAACATGGGTCCTTCTAAAAATCCTAAACTTCACCCTTGGTGATCAAAAGCAATGATCTTTATTTGCATTGCTCCGTAATTTTAAGAGCCCAGATTAAATTTTTCATCTTTATAACATATCTAAGAATTGCTTCCCAAAATTTATGTCCGCGTCCATTAAACGAACAAATTGATCAATTCGGACCCAAAACATACCAAAATCCAACGACCAAGGAATCCAATGGCACAATGCAGAATAATCAGGGGAGAAAAGGGGGCAAAGGAAATTTAGGGTTTTGATTCCGAGAAAAAAGTACAGGGTAATTGAAGGCGGAGAGAGCAGGAGGAGGAGGAAGAAATGCAGGCAAGGGGGTGGGTTTAAATAAGCGAATGCTGGGGATTATCAGTAATTTAATAACCACAATTAATTAGCTTTTAAAATTTACTAATTAGCACCTAAACTTTTTAGAATGTTACTTAATTATGAGATGGTAGGCAGGATTAAAACGCATCTTAGCTGTTACAATGATATTGGTTGGTTCTTGTCCAATATTGTAGAAACCCCCCTCAATTCTAACGTATTTAACAAATTTTTAGTATAAGAATTTTTCATTTTCCGCTATCAATATAAGGCCAATCTCGGTAATTTTTTACTTGAATAGGAATATTTAGGTGTGTCCATTGGGGCCAGGCAAAACCGGAGCCCGGACCCGGACCGGACCCGGGCCCGACCAGTTTATCTTTTTTTAAAATTCTATTTAAAATTTAAATTATACAAAAAAGACAAAAAAATAATAATAAACAATAATTTTATTAAACACTTAAAATGACATAAATTACAAATAAAAAATTATAAATTTTTTTATTAATAATTAATAATTTATTTATAAATTACAAGTATAAATTTATTTTGGAATTCATCGCATCACAATAGATAAGTACATCCCAACTAGGTTGGCACCTACTCACCTATATGGCTATATCACTATCATTTGTAACTATTTCCAAAATAATTCTTTATAAATTTTAAGCTAAGATATAAAAATTACAATTTGATAAATATTATTTATTCTTTATATCTATCTGCTAGTCTTAATTCTTCAAATTTATTTTCAATTCCAGCCATCCGATCGATGCCTTGCGTTCGCTTCTCGTACCTCCATCAATCTTATAAGCACATCACCGCTTGTACAGTATACGGATCTAAGCATGTCTTGTGGTCGTCGATCAAACGTCCTGCTGTGCTGAAGGCGGATTCCGAAGCTATCATCGAAACCTGCACTGTTAGTAAGTCACGAACCATGGTGAAAAGTATAGGATATGAAACTGATTCATATACTTTCCACCATTGTAAAATATCTAAAGCATTTCCTTGACATTTAACTAAAGAAGTAGATAAATATTCATCTATTTCAGAAACCTCCAATGATGACGATTCAAGTCCAGATCCACCAGTTAGCTCAGCTACCATTGCATACCTATCAAAACTTACACTTTTACCTCGGGATGAGCTCGAAGACACCGAAGCTGTAGACTGTTGTGTAGCTACACCATGTCTAGCTGCATACTCATCATATAAGGTTTGAAAATAATTTCTAATAGCTAAATGATGAGTAGTAGCAGTAAGGGTGGATCCATCATCTAAGTCTATAATCTGATTACCGTACAAGGATTGTAACAAACTTTGAAGGCCAATATCCTTCAAGCATGGATCAATAAGAACCCCAAACCAAAAATATGAGGAATAGACCTAAAGTACTTATTAAATTTGCTCTCCATTTGAAAAATTATAGGTCCAAAAGTATCATCCATACGATATTTCCCAAAAAAGATTTGAATATTTAAAATTTGTAAAGCAGCTAAAGTAATGGTTGGATAATAACAGCCAGATAATAACATTGTAGCATAATAAAAAAACTTGTAACATTTTATTTAAATTACATATAATTGTCCATTCATCTTCAGTTATTCCATAAGTGCTACCAGAACTAGAACTAGAAGCATAATAATTTATAAAATCAGTTATAATATCTTTATATTCTATTGCTACACTTAACATTACATAGGTGTAATTCCGCCTATGGTCAACATCTTTTGGAATTAGTCCGGGTTTTACATTTTTTTCTTTTACAAAATTGTTTCCATCTTTTAAGTCTTTGTTCAGAAGCATTATGCATATAAGCAACTGTTCTAACATTTTCTATCATGGGTTTAATTTCAGTAAATACACTTTGAACAATTAAATTTAAAATATGACAGATACACCTAATATAAAAAGATCACCATGACATGGCAATGATAGAGTTGATCTGATAAAATCAACAACTATATTGTTATTACTTGTATTATCTAGTGAAAGAGAAAATATTCTTTCTAAAATTTCTAATTTCATAAGTTCTTCAATTATTAAACTTATTACATTAATACCAGTATGTGACTCTTCTATTGCAATAAAAGAAACATCTCTTTTAAATATTTACCAATTTTCATCAATCCAGTGTGCTGTGATACATAAATATCCAGTTTGTGCTCTAGATGTCCAAATATCAGAAGTTAAAAAAAAATTATAGTTTAAAATTTTAAAATAAGAAATTATTTTTCCTTATTCCTCCTGATAATATTTCAAAATATCACGTTAATAGGTTTGACGAGAAATTTTTTTAAATGCAGGATAAAAACCATCTCTAAACATATCTTTAAATTCACCATCTTCTACTAATTTAAAAGGAAGGTTTTTAAGAATGATAAACCTGATTATGCATTTTCTGGCTCTGGCAGCGTCATAGTTCCAACTACCGAGACTACCAGAAGAGGAGGATTGAGAAATCATAGATTGTCAGATATCACATTGAGGAGTCTGACCTTTGTTGTGTTTATCTAAATAACGTTTGAGGTGGTTGGTGCCGCTTTTATGATGAGCTTGAAAAATCTTGCCGCACAACGCACACTTAGCCTTCTGGGTGAGGATCCTACCGTGTTCATCCTTGGTGACGTCGATCTTCTCATAAAAATTCCACACATCGGATCTTGGCCTTTTAGGAGCTCTTGGTGCAGATTCGTCGCCATCGGATTCGAGATTAACATCGGTATGAGTAGACCCAGTAGGAGGACTCATTTTAAGATCGGGAGATAGGTTTTGCTCTTCATAATCAGATCCGTAAGCCATTTGATGAAAGGATTAGAAAGTATAAGAGAGTATAAGATTGTATAAGAGAATATAAGAGTATAAGAGAGTATAAGAGAGAAATATGAGTTTTGGTGTGAAGAAAATAAATAAAAACTCCCCTCTATTTATAGAGCCAGCCCCCTAAACAAATGATCAAATTAACCTCATAAAATAGTCTCGTTTTTTGATCATTTTTGGGGACAAAACGGTCAAAAGGCCGTTTTTGACCGTTATGACCGGGCCGGTCTGGCCTGTTTTGACCACAAAGGTCACAGAGTGACGTTTGTGGCGCTGCGCTCGGAGCCTATTTTGGCAACGGTCACCGTTGCCACGCGGACCGGGCTCGGGCCGGGGCCTACCCGACCCGGATCGGTGACCGTTGCCACCGGGGCTGGGCTCGGCGGGCCCGACTGCCCGCCCGGATTTTTGCCCGACCCGGCGGTGTTCCGGGCCCCGGGCGTTCTGGGCTCCGGGCTGGGCCCGTTTGAGGGTAGCTCCGTAGCCGGGCCGGAACCCGACTCAGGCCCAAATTTTCGGGTCGGGCCGCGGCCCGGCCGGGCCCTTGCCGGCGGACTTTTTGGACAGGCCTAGGAATATTTTCCCATATAGTTGATCAAAATTAATCACATTCTCTTGAATAATATCCTCATAGTTTATTTGTTTGGTGGAAAATTTAAAGTAAAAAGAAATAAAGGAAAATTGATCTATATTCCTTTAATCTCAATTACAATTGGATTTCTCGATTACAAAAGAGATAAGAATTGATCTGGATTCTCCCATTTGTTTAATTCTGGGTTCTTCACGGTGGCGATGGAGTGCCTCCTTCGAATGCTCGCGTCGAATTTGCTCTCCGTTGACGATCTGACGTCTTGTTTCACTGGAACGTGATCTTCTCCTCATGATTTGACGTTGTGGAGAACTTGCGTGGCAAGTTTTAGAACTCTGAACAAGTTCGAAACTCTATGAAAGAGTTGATTTAACCGAAATCGGTCTATAAGCTAAGGATGAAGAAAGCTCCTGTTGCTGATCTCCAAAGCTCCATCAATTCCCCCCAAAAGATCTCTTCTTTGCTGCCAAAAAGAAGGATGAAAGATCCAAGATCCGAACTAAGCTGATTTATTAGTTATTTATAAGGGATTAAGGGGTGTAACTGCCCCCTTAATTCGCTCCTAAGTGGGGCTGAATGGGGTGTAACCGCCTCCTTAATCCGCTCTTAAGTGGGGGCGGAAATCCCTCAGATCATGGGAAGAAAACGGTTTCTGGAACCGTTCAGTTTGTGTTTGAGCGAGTCAAACGCAAAATCCGCGTTCTGGGGTAAATTCTGCGTTCAAACGCAGTGTCTGGAAGCTTAAACGCAGTGTCTGAAAGCTCGGACGCAGCGGCTGGAAGCTCATTTGGCTGTTTGTTGGAAGCTGCGTTTGGCAACGGATGAAAGCTGCGAAGGTTACATATTTTCTAGTCTCTTCCACGTCTTGGTTTGAAGAGACCGTCGATTTGTAGTCTCTTTCTGTCAGAACGTTGCAAAGATCGTCGTTTTGTAATCTTTGCTTTAGCTCTTTGATATGTGAGAGTCATCAGATTGTAACTCCCGATGTTGATTGTGAATGTTGTTGATTAGAGCTTTCATCAGTTGTTGTGAAGGTCATCAGATTGTAACCTCCATCGATCTACGTGAAAGTCTTCAAATTGTAGCCTTCTGGAAGTCGTCAGATTGTAACTTCCATCATTGGTGTTTGATGGGAAATCAACTATCTATTGTGATTTTTAGACAACCTACATTATTCTTCAAATACTTTGCCATATAGTTAATCTAACTTAATCAAATACACAAAAAATACTTGTTCCTCACATGCATTTAGCAAAGTGAAATGCTGGAAAAATCATGTGTTATGCATGTCATATTTTCTAGTTTTATAACGAAACAACTACAAGCATGATAACGATCAAGTAACGAATCGCTTTTTAAAATAGAATAGGAGAGTAGGAGAAGACATTAAATTAGGAGCATGTACATGTAAAAGTTGATATACTGAAGGGTATTGCTTTCTAATTTACTCTTTGCATGCTTAGTCTCGTTCTAGACTTGAATCTAGTCACCGCCTCCCACGTGTGAACGCATGGGAATACCAAGAAAGTTCTCCAATTATTTTCCTTTTGAGTAAAACAAAGTGATATGTTCAGACTCGTTTTGCAA